GCTCCGTTCCCGGCCTCCGCCACTGCTTCGCTGTCCTTCACTCTCGACTCCGGTGCTTCTGCCTCCTTCTTCCGTCACCGTTCCGCGCTCACGCCGCTTGCTACGCCTGCGGTTGTCTCTCTCGCTGACCCCTCTGCGGGTCCTGTCGTCGCTCGCAGTTCTACGTCCCTTCCCTGTCCACCAATTCCCTCGGGCTCCCTTACAGGCCTCCACGTTGCCTCGTTCTCGAGGAACCTGGTTGGAGTCGGCTATCTCCAGGACCTCGGCGTCACCACCACGCTCCCCGGGCATGAGCGGTTCGCTGTCTGTTCTAAGGCTGTCTCAGGATTCCCCCTTGCAACGTTCCCCCGGGACCCGGTGTCCGGTCTGTTTACCCTCGACACCGCTTCTCCCCCGGTTGGTGCGTCCTCCCAGGTCGCTGCAGCTTGCTCGTGTCGGTGCCTCACTCACCCGTCCCTTCTCTGGCACCACCGACTAGGTCACCCTGCTCTCCCACGTCTGCGTCACATGTCCCACCACGGTCTTGTCTTAGGTCTCCCCGCGTCGCTCCCTGCCCTTCCTCCCTCGACTGCGCCACCGTGCACGCCTTGCGTCGAGGGCCGGCTCCGCCGTGCTCCTCACTCCTCCTCGCTGCGCCCTGCTACTGCCCCCCTTCAGACCCTGCACCTGGACGTTTGGGGCCCGGCCCCCGTCCGCGGAGCGCGAGGTGAGCGCTACTTCCTTGTGCTCGTCGACGACTACACGCGCTACACCACGGTGTTTCCCTTGGAGCGGAAGGCCGACGTGCCCGACGTTCTTCTCCCGTGGGTTGTGGCTGCGCGTCTTCACCGCGGTCTCCCCATGTTGTGTCTCCACTCTGACCGTGGCGACGAGTTCGCCTCTGGTCGGCTTGGACAGTTCTGTCGTGCGGAGGGCATCACCCAGTCGTACACCTTGCCGTACTCACCACAGCAGAATGGGGTTGCTGAGCGCCGCATCGGCTTGGTCATGGAGGTCGCCCGTACCTCCATGATTCATGCCGATGCCCCCCATTTTTTGTAGTCGTTCGCTGTTCTCTACGCTGCTCACCAGCTTAACTTGTGGCCACGCTCCCAGCGGCCGCAGGTTTCGCCGACCCTCCTTTGGACCGGGTCCCTCGGTGACGCGTCTGCGTTCCACGTCAAGGGCTGCCTTGCTCACGTTCGTACCTCTGGCACAGACAAGCTCACTGCCCGCACTGTCCCCTGTGTCTTCCTTGGCTTTCCCCTGGACTCGTCTGACTGGCTCTTCTACCACCCGCCGTCTCACCGCTTCCTCCACTCCCGTGATGTCACCTTCGACGAGTCTGTCTCCTTCTACCGCCGCTTCCCTCACCGAGGTCTCCCGGTTGCCCCACCCCTATTCCTTGCCCCCTCTCCCCCGGTCGCCCCTCCCCCCCCCGCCTCGTCCCGCCCCGTCTGGTGTCTCTCACGTCACTCCCCTCTCGTCGGTTGTCCCTGTTGAGGAGTCTGTTGACTCTGGTGGTACCCCCGCCCCGTCCTTGCCGAGTCCCCCTTCCCCAGTGTCTCCGCCTCCCCTGTCGCAGTCGCTGACTCTGCCGCAGTCGCCGCCGCCGCCGCCGCCGCCGCTGCCGCCGCCGCTCTTGGCCTCTGGGGGTGCTGGCGTTGAGGACGGTGTTCGTCCTGCGGCTCCTTGCGTGGTTTGTCCCGGCGGGCCTGGGGGTGCCGCTGGTGCTGGAGAGGGTTCTCGCTCTGGAGGTGTAGGTTCTGGGGGTGCTGCCGTTGAGAGTTCTGCCAGTCCGAGGGTCGCGGCCCAGCCGTCGCAGCAGCTGCAGCAGCCATCGCCACCGGTCTCCGCTCCCCGCCTACTCAGCCTTCCCTCCCCTGACCGCTCGCCGGTGTCTCCCCCACCGCCTGCTGACCTTCCTGTCTACGGCCTTGTGTTCCCGCCGCCGGACTCGTCTCCGGCCCGTTTTCCTCCTCGTTCCCCTCCTGTGTCCCCTCCACTGTCTCCTGACCCTACCCCTCCGTCCCACGTTTGGTCTCGTCATCCCTCACGTGCCCGTCCCGCCTCCCCTGTCCTGCACTCCCAGCCTATGTTGCTCTGTTCCCACTCGTCTCGTCCTCCCCTTCTCCCGTCACCTCCTCCCTTCTCGCTTGTTGTTGCACCTCCTCCGTTCTCTGACTAACTCCGTGCCGCTCGTCCCCTTGTCCCTCGGGTTCTTGCCTCTCTTGTTACGGACCCTTCTGTTCCTGTCTCGCGCCTTGATGCGCTTGTCGCTGCTGTCGCTAACTTCGTCTCTACCCACCGCCTTGACTACGCTTCCGCTCTGGTCTCTGACCCTGCCCGTCCTCCGTCCGTTGGGGGTGCTCCTGCCCTTGGAAGTGACGTCCTAGAGGACAGGCAGTACGAGCTTGCTTCGCTTTTCGAGGCTGCTCCCCATCTCTGCTCCATGCTGTTAGTCCCGAAGGGTGACCCAGACGCCTTCGACATCCCGACTCCTCGCACCTATGCTGAGGCCACCTCGGGACCTTGGGCCTCTCAGTGGATAGCTGCCATGGAGCAAGAGATGGCATCTTGGAGGTCCACCGGCACTTACGTCGACGCAGTTCCCCCTCCTGGGGTGAACGTAGTCGATGGTCGGTGGCTCTTCAAGGTGAAGCGCCCCCCTGGAGAGCCGCCTGTCTTCAAGGCGCGCTATGTGGCCAGAGGCTTCAGTCAGCGCGAGGGGGTTGACTTCTTTCAGACCTTCGCCCCAACCCCGAAGATGACCACTCTTTGGGCACTGCTACACGTAGCAGCACAGCGCGACTACGAGCTTCACTCACTCGACTTCTCTACTGCCTTTCTTCAGGGCAGCCTACACGAGCAGGTCTACCTGCGCCGACCACAGGGCTTCATTGGTACCTTTCCCCCTGGGACCCAGTCGCTTCTCAGGCGCCCGGTCTACGGCCTGCGTCAGGATCCTCGCGATTGGCACGACACGCTGCGTGCCAAGTTAGTAGACCTGCAGTTCTTTCCGTCCTCTGCTGACCCTTCGCTGTTTGTGCGTTCCTGCCAGACTCCGTTCTACATCCTTGTCTACGTAGACGACCTGGTCTTTGCTACTGCTGACAGGGACGCACTGGCCTCTATGAAGGCCGAGCTGCTGAAGAGACACACCTGCACTGACCTTGGAGAGCTGCGTCGCTACCTTGGCCTGCAGATCTCCAAGGACAGAGCAGCGCGCACCATCACTCTGACACAATCACACTTGGTGCGTCAGGTCCTTCAGTTCTTCTCCACACAGCCCACACCTCTACCCGTAGACCATGGGCTCTCCACTCCCGTTCCTAAGAAGCCAGTAGAGCCGAGTGGACCCTACGCAGAGCTGGTGGGTTGCCTCATGTACCTGATGACTTGCACTCGCCCAGATCTTGCATACCCTCTCAGCATCCTGGCTCGCTTTGTGGCCACTGGCAGACACCGACCACAGCACTGGTCGGCCGCTAAGAGGGTTTTGCGATATCTAGCAAGTACAGTACATCGGGCATGGGGTTAGTGCTAGGAGGACGCAGGCCGGTGGTCCTCACTGGGCACACAGATGCTTCTTAGGCAGACGACTCTGAGACTCTCAGGTCCTCTCAGGGCTACTGTTTTAGCCTTGGTTCGGGTGCTATCTCTTGGAGATCCACTCGCTCGTCGTCTGTTGCTCTGTCCAGCTGTGAGGCTGAGATCTACGCTGGCGCCATGGCGGCACAGGAGCTGCGCTGGTTGACCTTCTTGCTCACTGACTTAGGTGAGTGGCCTAGCTCTGCCCCGGTCTTATACGCTGACAACAGGGCCATGATCCTCCTGTGTCAGGAGCCTCGGCTTGAGGGCAGAGCGAAGCATATCCAGCTGCGGTACTTCCTCGTGCGCGAGCTACAGCAGCGTCGCCAGGCCCGCGTAGTTCACTTGGCCTCCGGTGCCAACACAGCTGATATCTTTACTAAGGCGCTTACGCCTAGAGATCATCAGCGGCACTTTGTACAGCTTGGTTTTGTTCCTGTTGCTTCTCACTTGTTAGGACCCTGATTGTGTACTCTCTATTATATATACATGTCAGACTGGCCTTGTGGCCTCACCTCTAGTGGTCGGACTAGTAGTGCCGCCCCGGCTTGCTTTTGTCGTATTTGTACTCTTGCTGACTGGTCTCCATACCCCTTCCTCAGTGGTTGGACTAGTAGTGCCACCCTGAGCTGTTTGCTTCTTGTTTAGCTTCTCCCATTGTCTAGCCTAGGGGGTGTGTCAACTTATACATATTAGCTATGTAGAAGTTAGAGGCTGGACTAAGTATGCTTCTAGTGAGTACAACCAACTAGTATTTGTGCTAGGTTTCTCCTAATTCATTGATTGAGTTCTTACTTTAACAATTAGAACGCAAGGCTGAGGATCACTGGCTCTGATGGCCAGGTGTAATGAAGCGCAAAAGGGCGTGTGTCGAAGGATTGAGTAACGAGGAAACAATACAACCGAGGCAACATCGAAACAGCAGGGAGCATGGATGTAGCTAGCCTAGAGCGCACGGTCGTGGCTCAGCAGAGCTGCAACGTGTGGTTCGTAATTTAGCGCGAAGCGCCTGGATCTAGGCATGAAACAGCAAGGCGGGCAAAATGCATGCGGCTCCTCAGGAGACCACATTTGAATACCGCGATTTGAATTTTGTGGAAGAGCTGCGCGGCAACCCCTTTATAGGAGCATACACCTTACTCACTAAAACACTCTTGCCTGGATGGTGCAACACTGGTTCGCCTGTTCCATTGCACGCGTGCAGTAAGGGCGTGTATCATCTCCAACCGACGTCCTGGCACGGTACAGTGCAATTTTACACGTTAAAGAAAGGTCACGTGCGTTCAGAGGCGGTGACTCGATGTGAAACTGTGACGTGCTATTCTAACTTCGTGTATTGCCAGTGGTATGTGTGGCAGATGGGCGGTCGGGCAACATACACGAACACGTTGACAGAGCACACACACACCGACTGCCAGGTGAAGGGCAGTACAGTACACCTCACGGTGGTGTTGCAAGTCAGCTTAGATTCCTCTTCGCTTCTAAGACCGCCGGGTTAGGAGCCGGTAAGAGGGGTTCCTGGCTCTCAAGGTACCGACCGAATTTGCAGAGGGTGCGTGAAAGCTCCTCGATTCGCGTCTTAGGACAGCTTTGGCATTCGCGCTGAGCTCTCTCGCTTCCTGCTTGCCTGGCAGCCTGTGGTCACGAGGCGAATGCGTGGATTCCGTGCTACAGAGCATAGCGTGTGTAGACGAGGGAAGACCTTTGGTGGTTGATAGAATCCCCTGTCAGACCCGCACGTGCACTGTCGGAACTGTCCCTAGCTCGTGGCCGTACCTCTCGACGTTGTAGTTATGTCGGCCGAATAAAGATTTCCTTCCGCCAGCTGTTTCGGTGTGTTTCTTGAACGGCTCGCTCCGCGACTATCACCGGCGGTTACACCCCTCTTTGATTCCTGGATTTACCCACCAGCGCACCGTTCGCTCTACACTAGACTAGGCCTGGCGTACCGGCGGTCGCCCGAAGTCTGGCGGATGTAACCCTCCAGCCCGGCCTTCACCCTCGAGCGCTCCTCTAGATAGCCGTCCTCGCATCCCCTCCTCGCGTGGCGGCCGCTCCAGCCACCGCCGCATGACCCGTCGCCCAGCCCGCGCGCGAGTTGCTTTGGGTTAGTGACCCTGACGGGCCGTCCCCTGGCGTTATGAACTGCTTTCGGTTCGGGCAGGTCCTTCGGGACGACAGCCCGCCTCGCCACCACCAGCATCACCACCGCGGCGCGCACGGGCACTCGTGGCACGGGTGCACGCGGCCCGTGCTGGTGGACGACCCGGGCGACGACGACGACGAGCACGGCGGGTATGGCGTGCGACCAGGCGTGCCGCGATCGCACAGCAAGGAGAAGGAGCGGCTCCAGCAGCAGCAGCAGCAGGAGGTGCAGGCGCAAGCGCAGGCGCCACAGGTGGAGGCATCGCAGTCGTTGGAGGGGGAGCAGCAGCGGCGGGTGCGTGAGGGGAACTCGGCTGAGCAGCGCGAAGGCGAGCTCCACACGGAGCATTGCACGGTGGGGAGCGGTGCTAGGGATAGGTCGGGGACAGGGAGTGATGCGGCGTTGGGACAAGAGGAGGGTGGGGAGGAGGACGAGCAGCAGCAGCTACAGGTGCGGCTGAAGCAGCAAATAGAGCGGACGCTACAGCAACAGGAAGGGGAGCAAGGGGAACTGCAGCAGCCGCGGGAGAAGGTGCAAGCTGCAGCGGCGATCCAGCCTGGCGCGTGTGCGCGGTCGCACAGCTCGCCTGTTCCCGCGCTAACCGTCGCCAGCACCGCTGCTCGCCACGTACAGTTTCAGCAGCAGCAGCAGCAGGAGTCGAAGCACTCCAAACATTCCAAGCACGGCAAGCAGGAGCGGGGGGGCGTTCTGGGGGGGTTCATGAGCGCGCCTGCCAGCCCCATGTTCCGCACTACCAAGCACGCGCAATCCGCCGCCGCCACCACTGCTGCCCTTGCCGGCAGCACATCCGTGGGGGGCCCGGGGCGACACCCCCTGCTCCGCCGCTCCACCACCCCCTCGTCATCCTACCACCACCACCACCACCACCACCACCACTCCTCCACAGCCTCCTCCCCCCGCATCTCCCGCAGCTCCCCCGGCCCCTCCGCGCAGTCCCCCTCATCCGTGGCCTCCTCCCGCCCGTCGTCGCGCGACGGCGCGGGGAGTGGGAGCGGGCGCAGCCTGCGCCGAGACGGGTCGTCCATGGGGTTGTCGTCGGGGCGGCGGGGATCGTCGTCAGGGAAAGGGGGGTCGTCCGCCGTGCTGCCGCTCCCGGGCGGACACAACCTGCCAGGCATTCTGACTAGGAACTTCTCCCGCAACAGCTCCTCGTCCACTGCGTCCACCCCGCCCCTTGCGCCCGCCATGCCAGGCGCGTACCCGCCTAAGAGCCCCTCGGTGAAGGAGAAAGAGAGGAGTAGGGAGAGAGACAGAGGGGAGAGGGGAGGGGAGGTGAAAGGGGAGAGGGACAAAGGGCGGGGTGGGGTGGGCAGCAGCAGTGGGATGGAGAGAGGGCCGTTGGAAGATGCGGATATAGAGGCACTGCGGGAGCTGCAGCAGCGGCATTGCCTGCATATCTTCTCTTATGCTGAACTCCGGGCAGCCACAATAAATTTTGCGCCGGAGAATTTGCTGGGTAGTGGGGGGTTTGGGAGGGTTTATCGAGGGGAGGTGTTTCTGCCTCCCCTCAAGATGCCCGCTGGCGAAGCTAGTAACAGTGGCGAAATCGCTCTAGAGGCGGGTGGGCAGGAGGGTGAGGGAGCGGAGAGAGGGGGAGCGGGGGAGCAGGGAGCGGGTGGGCGTGTGGAGGTAGCAGTGAAGAAGCTGAATAGCAAGAGCATGCAGGTAGGGGCCGTGGGAGACGAGGAGGGCTGGGTAGCATGCCTACACACCCTCACAAACACACACCACACACACACAAACACCCCCCCCCCCCTCCCCCTTTTTCCCCAGGTATATGCGCTTTCGTGCACTCGCACATGCCTACTTCCCTCCCCATGCCCCAAACCACCCGCACACAAAAGCAGGTGCACTCACATTTACGGTCCATTTTTTTCCCGAATGCACAGTCATGCAAAGGAGCAGACAGTAGGACTAGTGAGCAGGCTCCGCCATTCCCCGTCTCCCTGTGTCCCTCACCCTTGCCCGTCATCCCCCAGGGCCACAAGGAGTGGATGGTGGAGGTGAGTCTGCTGGCAGCAGCCAGCCACCCGAACCTGGTGCGCCTCATAGGGTGCTGCGCAGAGGGTGACCGCCGCCTGCTCGTCTACGAGCTGCTGCCCCTAGGCAGCCTCGACCGCCTGCTCTTCCGCCCTGCCGCCTCCTCCTCCTCTGCCTCCTCCACCTCCCCTGCCTCTGCTGCTTCGCCTGGCTGTGACCCCGGGCAAGGCCCCCCTGGCAGTCGGCCGTTGTCGCTGGACTGGAGCACGCGGCTGAGAGTGGCGCTGGGAGCGGCCAAGGGGCTGGCGTATCTACATGAGGAGATGGAACCCAAGGTGGGCAGGCAAGGGGGCGAGAGGGCATGGGTGGAGTAGGAGGGGTGGAGTAGGAGGAGGTAGAGGGAGAGTGGGAGGTAGTGAGGCAGGATATTGGAGAATGGTCTACTGCTGTCTTGTCTGCACTGCAGCAGTTGGTTGAAGTGGCTCTGGGCATGGGCGAGGGGCTAGCACGACGTCCATGGGGCTCAAGAAATGTTGGAGGGAATTTGGGGTTGAGACTGTGACTGAGGGGCTGTGTTGACTGCTCCTTACTGCTCCATCAACTTTTGCTTGCCGCATCTCATGCCATGCCACGTCCTTCCCTTACCCTCTCCGCATTCCCTCCTCCTGCCTCACTCTCCTCCCTTCCCCCCTCTACCCCCCCCTTTCAGGTGATCTACCGCGACCTCAAGACGTCTAACGTGCTGCTCACGGCGTCCTTCCATGCCAAGCTCTCCGACTTTGGCCTCGCCCGGGAGGGACCGGATGGGGACTCCGAATACGTCTCCACTATGGTATGTGGGAGGGGGGGTGGGGGGGGGGAGGGAAGTCGGGGCGTTAGGTAAGCACAGGAGGCATTTCACAGCAGGGGATTTACTTGGCCTTGTGTGGTCCGGTTGGACAGAGCGCACTTGAATCATTGGCCCATCTGTCATGGGCGTGTGATGGTGCTCTTTCAAGCACACTTTGTGCTGGAGGCTGGAGTCTGCCCACAGAATGGGGGCAGCAACGGGCAATGTTCAGCAACGGGCAGGCGCTGGTACGTCTGTGGAATGGTAGTAGCAAAGGAGTGTTCTGGAGTCGGGGGGACAGTGGTAGAATGAAGGGGGGAGTGCAAGTGAGGGAAGGGGTTGTTTTGACATTTGGCTATGGACTGTGGGATATGTGCTGTACATGTTGCCTTTTGGTGACTCGAATCCTCTTCTCTCCTCCTTGCTCCTCCTCTTGCCTTCACGGACGAACCCTGCTTCTGCTCGTGCATGCAACCCAACCCCCCCTGGTGGGTGTGAGCAGGTGCGCGGCACAGCAGGGTATGCAGCCCCGGAGTACATGCTGACGGGGCAGCTGACGAGCAAGAACGACGTGTGGAGCTTTGGCGTGCTGCTGCTCGAGCTGCTTACAGGTCGCCCCTCCATCGACAGCAAGCGGTGAGCCCTGGGCAAGCTGGGAGTGTGGCAGGCTGGGAGTGTGGCAGCGCGTGGAGCACGGGGCTTGGGAGTGAAGCTGAGGTGGGTGCTGCACTGTGTGACTTTGCATAGAGGAGGTCATGTCTCGGGTAATGAGGATGCGAACGCACAATGCCACAGTGCCACGACCAGCAAGAGGAAGACTAGCCTAAGCTGATGCCAGCAAGGACAAAAGAACAACCTCATGTCTTCTCACTCCTGCAACCTCTTTCTCACCCCTTGCCTCCCTCCAGATCCTCCCTCTTCCCTCCACCATTCACTGAGTCCCTGCCTCTAACCTCCTCCCGCCCTCACTCGTTCACTCCTCTTCCCCCTCTCCCGGCCTTCCTACCAGGCCGCACCCGGAGGGCAACCTGGTGCTGTATGCGCGGCCCTACCTGCAGCAGCCAGCAGACATTGTCAAGATCATGGATTCCGCGCTCACCGCCGCCTCGCCCCCGCCTGCCGCTGCGGCCAAGGTGGCGGAGGTGGCGCGGTGGTGCCTGGCCATGGACCCCACTCACCGTCCAGTCATGAGCCAGGTCGTGGACGTCCTCACCTTCCTCTCCTCGCAGCAGTGGTCGTGACGAGCCTCTGCTATGGTGCCTCAATAATTGCCGCCACTGCAGCCAAGCTTGGTTGGTGACACCCGGTGCCATAAACTGAACACACACACCGCAGTGAGCAGGCCCGACGTTCCATTTTTAACCACTGTCTTTAAACAACAAAAAGGGTTCTAACTCTTAGAACTGAATGAATGATTAAGGAACCTGTGTACAAGGAAATATATCTAAGGGTTGTACTCTCTAAGAGGTGACCCTATACAGTCTATACAAACACTACGGATTACACATGTTTGACACACCCCCTAGACTGCATAGGGGCAGTTCTGAACAAGCAGCTCAGGGCGGCACTACTAGTCCAGCCACTGAGACAAGAGTCTAAAGACAAGTCAAAACGAGTGCAGGCAAGACAAGAACACGAACAGGGCGGCACTACTAGTCCAACCACTGGGAGAGAACACAAGTCCAACCTGGGTACGTATAGATATATAGGACAGTACAAAGTCAAGGTCATAGCAAGTGAGAGGCTACAGGAACTAGACCGAGATGTACACAGTGCCGCTGATGATCTTTATGCGCAAGCGCCTTCGTAAAGATATCAGCTGTGTTGGCACCGGAGGCCAAGTGTACTACGCGAGCCTGGCGGCGCTGCTGTAGCTCGCGCAGGAGGAAGTACCGCAGCTGGATATGCTTCGCTCTGCCCTCGAGTCGAGGCTCCTAACACAGGAGGATCATGGCCCTCTTGTCAGCGTACAGGACAGGGGCAGAGCTAGGCCGCTCACCTAGGTCAGTGAGCAAGAAGGTCAGCCAGCGGAGCTCCTGTGCCGCCCTAGCACCGGCGTAGATCTCGGCCTCACAGCTGGACTGGGCAACAGACGAGGAGCGGGTAGCTCTCCACGAGACGGCACCTGAACCAAGGCTAAAGTAGTAGCCCTGGGAAGACCTGAGAGTCTCGGCGTCGTCTGCCCAAGAAGCGTCTGTGTGTCCAGTAAGGACCACTGGCCTCCGTCCCCCTACCGCTAACCCCACGCCTGATGTACTTGCGAGATAACGCAAAACCCTCTTAGCTGCAGACCACTGCTGCGGTCGGTGTCTGCCTGTGGCCACAAAGCGAGCCAGGATGCTGAGAGGGTATGCGAGATCTGGGCAACTGCAAGTCATCAGGTACATGAGGCAACCCACCAGCTCAGCGTAAGGACCACTGGGTTCAACTGACCCCTCAGGAACTGGAGTGGAGAGTCCGTGGTCTAGCGGGAGAGGGGTGGGCTGTGCAGAGGAGAACTGAAGGCCGAACCTCTGAAGGACCTGGCGCACCAAGTGTGACTGAGTCAAGGTGATGGTGCACGCTGCTCTGTCCCTGGAGATCTGCAAGCCAAGGTAACGGCGCAGTTCTCCAAGGTCAGTGCAAGTGTGTCTCTTCAGCAGCTCTGCCTTCACGGAGGCCAGTGCGTCCCTGTCGGCTATGGCAAAGACGAGGTTGTCTACGTACACAAGGATGTAGAACGGAGTCTGGCCAGCACGAACGAAGAGCAAAGGGTCTGCAGAGGACGGAAAGAACTGCAGGTCAGCAAGGGTAGCATGCAGCGTGTCGTGCCACTCACGGGGAGCCTGCCGCAGGCCGTAGACGGGACGCCGCAGGAGCCACTCAGTCCCAGGAGGGAAGGTGCCAGTAAAGCCCTGAGGGCGGCGCAAGTAGACCTGCTCGTGTAGGCTGCCCTGAAGGAAGGCAGTGGAGAAGTCGAGGGAGTGAAGCTCGTAGTCACGCTGAGCTGCTAAGTGTAGCAGAACCTGAAGAGTAGTCATCTTCGGGGTCGGAGCAAAGGTCTGGAAGAAGTCCACCCCCTCATGCTGACTGAAAGCTCTAGCCACGTAGCGCGCCTTGAACACAGGCGGCTCTCCAGGAGGGCGCTTCACCTTGAAGAGCCAGTGGCCATCGACTACGTTCACCCCAGGTGGGGGAACTGCGTCGACGAAGGTGCCGGTGGATCTCCAAGATGCCATCTCCTGCTCCATGGCAGCTATCCACTGGGAGGCCCAGGGTCGCGAAACAGCCTCAGCGTAAGTGCGAGGGGTCGGGATGTCGAAAGCGTCTGGGTCACCCTCAGGGACAAGCAGCATGGAACAGAGATGGGGAGCAGCCTCGGACAGGAAAGCAAGCTCAAACTGGCGGTCCTCCAGGACGTCACTGCCGAGGGCAGGAGCACCCCCGACAGACGGAGGACAGGCAGGGTCAGAGACCAGAGCTGTGGCGTAGTCAAGGCGTCTGGTAGAGGCGAAGTGAGCGACCTCAGCGACAAGGGCGTCAAGGCTCGAAACCGGAACGGACGGGTCAGTGACGAGAGAGGCAAGGACCCGAGGAACAAGAGGACGAGCGGCACGAAGGCAGTCAGACAGAGGGGGGGGAGCAACGACAAGGGAGGACGGAGGATGTGTTGGGAGAAGGGGAGGACGAGACGCATGGGAACGAAGCAACATAGGGTGAGAGCGCAAGACAGGGGAGACAGGACGAGCACGGGAGGGACGGCGAGACCAGACGTGAGACGGAGGAGTCGGGTCAGGAGACAGAGGAGGGGACACAGGGGGGGAACGAGGGGGGACACGAGCCGGGGACGAGTCCGGCGGAGGGAACACCGGGCCGTAGACGGGAAGAGGGGGAGACGGCAGGAGACGAACAGACGCAGGGTCAGGGGACGTAAGACCGAGCAGGCGAAGGGCGGACACCGGTGGGGACTGCTGCTGCGGCGGCACAACGCCGACACTAGAATTGCAAGCTGCTCCTCGGCTACCACCGGCACACTCCACGCCCGCACCCCCAGAGGAAACACCCCAAGAGCCCGAAACCCCTCGAGCACCGGGACCACCCCCAGAGCCACCGGGACTAGCACCCACTCCAACGCCAGCACCCCCAGAGTCAACGAACTGCTGCTGTGACGGCGGCGGCAGCGACAACGACGGGTGCGGCGGCGGCGGCGGAGGTGATGACAGGTGCGACAGCAGAGGCGACAGCGGCAGTAGAGGTGGTGGAGGAGGGGACGCCTGGGGAGGGGCAGCCGGCGCGGACTGCGCCGCAGGACCACCAGAGTCAGAAGACTCCTCAACCGGGACCACCGACGGAAGAGGGGTGACGTGGGACACACCAGAGGGGGCAGGACGGGGAGGTGGAGGGGGGGGGGCAGGGACCACCAGGGAAGGAGTGACCAGGAACAGGGGGGGGGTAACCAGGGGACCGCGGTGGGGGAAGCGACGGTAGAAGGAGACTGGCTCATCAAAGGTGACGTCGCAAGAGTGAAAGAACCGGTGAGACGGCGGGTGGTAGAAGTGCCAGTCGAACGCGTCAAGGGGACAACCGAGGAAGACGCAGGGAAGGGTGCGGGCAGTGACACCGACCACAGCACCGGTCGCACACACCAGGAAAGGGGCTAGCGCTAGGACTCGGCACACAGACGCTTCTTGGGCAGACGACACTGAGACCCTCAGGTCCTCCTAGGGCTACTGCTTTAGCCTTGGTGTAGGTGCCATCTCAAGGAGGTCCACCCGCTCGTCGTCTGTTGCCCAGTCTAGCTGTGAGGCTGAGATTTACGCTGGTGCCATGGCAGCATAGGAGCTCCGCTAGCTGAATTTCTTGCTCACATACTTAGGTGAGTGGCCTAGCTCTGGCCCGGTCCTGTACGCTGAAAACAGGGCCATGATCTGTTGGTGCAATCCTATGGCTTGCACTCGGCTTGTCGTCCTTGTTTGTGTGTGTGCATGCATGGCATGGAATGAATTGTGAGTCTATGTCAGTGCTATCTAGTGCTTGTGTGAATGTTTGAATGGTGTATCACATTGTGGCTTGTGTCGGTCAAGACATTGGCGAGTTTTTACAACTCGCATGTCAAGTCGTCGTTTGTGTGTCGCATGTGTTTTTTCTATTTTGTCGAGTGTGAAGTGTCCATCGTGTCGCAGGTGTGTGCAGCAAGCCCCCATCAACTCAAGAAGAATTTATCTTGCAGATCCAAGAACAAGAGCTCAATATTTCAAGCCCAAGGGACGCGGATAAATATTAAATAGTGAAAATAGTAACGTTACTTCGTGTAGTGTTACATTTCACTTGGGGTAGCCCCTTGGAGGGTTGGTTTCGAGACTCTTCATGGTTGGGGACTCTGTGGTGGTGTACCACCAACCTGGACCTCGGCTCTTGGGGTATGTAGAGGCTGGGAACCATCTCCCTCTCGAACTCTTGCTAAGTTTGTACTCCTAAGACTATTGTGGCTGCTGTACCTTCTACCAGTCAAACCGCCATAGCGTCGTCAAATCTTCATAGAATCTTATGATTCAACTTGCTGCTGATAGGCGACAGCAACGCGCTCCAGATCCAATTTACAGATCACCATTTGAGGCACAGATCAGATCGCCACCAAGTTTTGAAGCTGTCTGACCGAATTCTGACTGTCTTGAATTTCTCTCATTTTAAGAACATCTGAGCCTATTGTGATTATAACAAGTGGTATCAAAGCCCCTTGGAGACGTCTCGACCATGCCTAGGCCTGAGGAAGGGGTTGGCAGAGGTGTTGGAGGCAGAGAAGACGCCCAAGCACAAGGTCAACACCAAGATCCACCCGTTGCTACGGTGCAACCTAGCCTTGGACCCTCTAGGGATGAGCCTAGAGTGTTTGGCCTTGACAAGTTCAACGGTGACAACTTTGCTGAGTGGTCCTTCAAGATGGAGAACATCTTTGACCACTATGATCTGCTGGAGGTGATGGAAGGAACGGAGAAGCGCCCCGAGAACGACCCGGAGAAGAGCCCGTGGGTGCGGAAGAGCGCACAAGGCTACCTTCTACCTGGGCAAGCGTTGGGGAGCAGCCAAATCCGTCACATCAAGCCTTTTCAGCGTGAACCAGCAAAGGGACCAAAGGCATGGGCTGCTCTCAAGGGTGTACACGCTCCTGCAACAGCGGCGGTGGCTGTGGTTTTGGAGCGGCAAATGGCGGCACTTCGAATTGACGAAGGCGAACCGGTGGAGGAAGGAGTGCAGAAATTCTTCGACTTATTGACACGGCTCGAAGGAGCTGGCCTGAACTACAGTGACCTTCAAAAGAAGACCAAGCTGCTAGCCTTACTTCCGGACTCATGGTCCTCGCTCATCATCAACCTTAATCGAGATCTGCCCCGTCTCTCACTCGAAGATGTGAAGCGGGAAATCTTACAAGAAGATTTCCGCCGTCGCGAATTGGCGGGTCCCGATGGTGCCGGAGTTGCAAGCATGGGCCGTGGGCACGGCCGT